TTTCCTGCCGCCTTCAGCAGATGTTTTACATCTCTGTTTCCCCACCTCCACCCCCATGGCTGCCAACACATTTGACTCCTAAAGAGCTCACAATGATCTTATTCAGTTGATTTTCTTCCCTCTCCTCTTCAGTCTCAATAAGCTGCAACGCTGACATCACTAGTAATACAATTGACTTCCCGGGTTTTGTTTATTAAATCTGTTTTCAGGTGTTTTGTTGTCAAATAAATTTGTCTTTATTGTTTTTTGTTACGAGTTGAGAGTAATTTGGATACGATGGGACTACTGCAAGAAACCTGAACAGTTATTGTGTCAAAATATAACAAGTCAGTTTTCTGTCTGAGGGGATTTGCTGCTCTTTTTCAGAGAAGAGCATAATTTCTTCCTGGTTTTTTTTCCTTCTCCTTTGTTCTTCATAAAAATGTGGAACTTATTTCACGCCAATACATTTTCATTTTTTCTATAGAGTACAAACTGCCAAATCCACTTATGGTTCCAGTCTGCTCTGTAGCAGCAACACTTAATTTTCAGTTGGGGCTAAGGATAAGAGATGAGTTTTTAATGGAGAGAAAGTCATGCCTGCTGGCTTCCACCTGTCCACAACTCATTTACTTCAGTGCCTCTGCTCTGCTTGTTAAAGCTGACACTCTGAGCATTGCTAAGCATGCACCTCCATGCTACTCCGTTTGTTCAGTTCTGTCTCTCCGAAGGTTACTGCAGGCTTCCTCTCTGCCTGTGGCCTCTGGGTCGACTTTGAACACATTTTCCTCCACTCTCAAATTGTTCAGCAACATCACTGGCCTGCCAAATAGAGGCCTACTATTCCCAGGGCTGCTGGTTAGCTTTCGCTGCTGTCTGCAAAGGGCTCTACCCTGTAAGAAACAAGGCCCTGAGGCGACCACTTTATGAGAGGAGGAAGCACCTTTAACCCAGTAGCGCTCAGCCTGCCATGTCAGGCTGCTCTTGTTGGTYTGAGCTGGTGAAAAGGCTGCAACACTGGTCGGATTGAGTCGGGTGAAATGTCCCATTATTCGTTCTTGGTGTCAACAAGCTGCAGTCCCACAGTGGAAAGCAGCTAATTTAAACAATATCGCCATTTCATGTCATTCCTCCTCCCCCTTGGTCAGTCCTCAGATGGCACCACATCATTCTTGATATTGTGCAGCCATGACTTGGACTTTAATTGCTTCAGAAATAAAGCAAACACTGCTGTAACTTTATAATTGTACTTTTCAATCGTTGCACTTACCAGTTGATATACAGTATTATTTGTATGCAGAATATAGCTGAGAAAGAGTAGGCATAAACTAAATTTAATTTTTAATCTAAACAATAAAATCACTAAGTCATGCTCCAGATATTGTATATACAAAATGCACCATATTATATGATTTGTTAGTAAGCTAAGCTAACAAAGCAAAAAATAAATAAATAAATAAATAAAAATAAAAAAATAAAAAAATAAAAAATTCTAAACTATTACATCCATTTCTACTTTTTTCAATGTCATCGTTTTATTTACTTCAGTCTTTGAGTTTGTGTTAAGTTTATCTCTTCCCTCCTTGTTTGCATCTTGTATAAATTTAATATCAGTAGATCATTACCATATTTAATTTGAGGGATTAGCTTAATTGCTGCAAACTGTTATGGTGGTAATGGGAGCACCCAATGCAACACACCTGCTGAGATTATGAAGACCAGTTATCCAATTTGAACCTAGATGCAGGAATGTCATRTTTACTAGGAATACCAACCTGTCTCGTCTGCAGCTGTGACATTATCCTGTCTTGTTCACATCTGTTTTCAACTCTGACTCAACAGAACAGGGTTCAGTTAGAGTTGATTTACTACRTTCTTCTTCCGTTTTGGTCTTTTTAAAACTTGTCAGTGTTGGTTTACATCATGGTTGGGCAATATTACATTTTTAACATGTGTAAACCTGCCTCAGATTATACACCTGTATAGAACATAAATGACAAAACTGTCTGTTGAGAAATCCTTGTCATGCTGTCCTAAAGCTGCTTTTAACTTTAGGACATTTTTTAGGGGCTTCTAATGGATTTTTAACAGTCATTTATTGGATTAAAAGATAAAGATTAATTATCTAATTAGATAAAATAATTTTTTGTCATGGTATCTGAAAACCCATCGTTTCTGCTGGAAAATTAGGGGCATTGACTCATTTCATGGTCGTTCACACTAAACGCGTTTTGAGCTGCAGGAGCAGCCAGTTTACATGCAAAGTCTATGGTGGATGCTCTAGGGGTCTTGTGGCACGTCAGGTCTGTTTAGCGTGCAAGGAACGATGAAGGTGTAGCAGAAAGCAGCCGATGCTCCTGTTCAACGACGTTGTCAAGACGCGTCGAGCGTCTTGACAACCAATCAGAGAGACTCATTTTTCCACATGATGGTTTCCTGAATGTTGCCCACTAAACCGAAACAGACGGACAGGAGCTCTTTAGCTGAAATTGAACATCTGTAGTTGATGTTCTGGCTGGAGATATCAGCACCGATGCGGGTCTGGTCAGCAGCTCGTTAAACTGACCGCGGTGTTAAACTGGGCTTGGGACAAAAATAGTCTGTCAGCTCGCAGCTCCTGGAGTGGCGAAACTAACCGAACAAACCACCTCTAAATCATCKGGTGAATTTATTATCTGCTGTGTGCAATGTTTGCTTGCTCTGTAGTAAATAAAGCAAAGCCGTTTTCTTTATTTTATCTTTATTTCATCCACCGAAGACAGACTGGGAAAAAAAACAAGATGCTCCTCCCTCTTCAGACGCGTATCTAGTCTCTGTCCCGGTCTGAACATAGAGCATCCAACTAGTGGCGTTGGGTGCTTTTTTGCTGCTCAAAACATTTTCGGTGTGAACATATCGTCAGAGTTATAAAATAATCATCATGCCATTTTAAATATTCATTTTGTTAGAAATTGGCCTACCAGCATGYTGCCCCAATATAGTTAGGGCAGGGGTCAGTTACCATTCTAATTGAGGACACTGGTTTAAGATATGCATTTAGAAAAGTGCAACAACCGAGGCTTATAAGACACATCAAGGGAAATTTGGTAAGGTGTGAGACCTGAGTGAAGTTGGCTCCCCCACCTTGTTCAAATCTAACAAAATTGGTGTCAAACGTTTGTGCTGTTTTGTGCAGCAAAAATCTTGGTATAGGTATTGCTATTTTTTTCCAGAGGCAAACAGAGTTGTCTGTAAATGTGGGTGAGGGCGGCAAAGTTCAGTTATTTACCTACATGCAGGCCATTTTCTAGCCTCATGCATTGTCCTGCTGTAAACTTGACTATTCCACGTTTTGCTTTGTGTGTAAGAATAAATTACCCGCAGGCACATGCATTGCCCCTTAAAACTAATAGGTTAAACCAGGAGGGGGGTTTGCACCTATATTGATTTGTTTATGGGCAGAAAAAGGCTTTAGTTATTCAATTTTTACCAACTCATGACCAAAATGGTTTACAAAACCCCTGAAGTTCAGTTGTTTATTTGGCTGTACGGTATTTGGAAAAAAATGCATTTGGGAGTCCTTCTGTTACTTTGTCCAAGTAAACATTCATTGGCAAATTCTATGAGCTGATGCTAACAGAAGCGTTAAAAGTGAATACAATTTCTCAATTGTTCTGAAGTCATCTCTTTTCAGTCAAAATCTGATTTTTCTCCTCCCCTTGATGATATAAGCATTAGAATTTGTGAATAAGAACAGCTGTTTTGGAAATTCAGCTTTTATATCATATATGATGAATGAACAAAATGTAGTTCATGTTGGTACACTTTCGTTAATATCTTCAAAACAAAATCAGCACAAACAAAAAACTGAGCAGCAAAAACCAGCCCAAACGTAGCACAACTGATTGACACCAGTTTTGTTTGATTTACGTAATGTGTGGGGGGGCTGGTTGACCTTTGACCTCTGGAAAATTTTTTATTAATATTTCAAAAACCATAGCGGCACAAACAAAAAAAAATTGCTGCACAAACGTTTGACACCACGTTTGTTTGATTCGGTTAATGTGTGGGGGCTGGCTAACCTTTTGACCTTTATACTTTTGTTAATATCTTCAAAAGAAAAGTAGCACAAACAAAAATTTGAGCAGCACAAACGTGGCACAAAAGATAAGCACCAATTTTGTTTGATTTGGGTAATGTGTATGTGTGTGTGGGGGGGAGGGGAGGCTGGTTGACCTCCGATGACCTCTAAAAACTTTTATTAATATAATAATTTTAATAGTATTAATTAAAAACGATAGTGGCACAAAAGAAAGTTTTTGCTGCACAATCGTAGCACAAACGTTTGACACCAATTTGGTTAGATTTGAACAAGGTGGGGGGGCAAAAGTCACTCAGGTTTTTGACTGTTGTTTACATCATAGGAGGGAATCAATGTACAATAGTTACTATGTACCTGRAATTTGTGTAAAAGTACAGATGTCAAATAAAGACCCTAATCTCAGAATCTGAATCTCTGAATCACCATATGTAAGTCACAGCTTTGCTTTTGCTTGTTCATTTTGATGTGACCTGCTAATTTTACATCTTTTTTTTTCTTATTAAAACACAACAGTCAGTCGTCAACAATGCTATGGGAGAAAACTGCAGTGGAAGCAGATTCATAATGGCATGTTTCTTTTAAATAATTTTTTGCTTATGCAGTTAACAATAGGGTGGCTCAGTTGGTTCTGTTGAAGGAACTCTGGGGACCAGAGTTTGCATGTTCTCTATGTGCATGCATGGGTTTTTTCCGGCCACTCGGGTTTCCTCCCACAGACCACAAAACATGAATGTTTCACTTATCGGAAAACAATCTTCTTGGTTTGATGGGGAAAAAAAAAAAAAAAAACAGAACATTAAATCAGATTTATTATTTGTGATTATCTTTATTTTGTTTTTCAGTGTGACAGCATATACAAACATTTCTTGATATGTGTTGTGTTCTTTTACCTTTGTAGTTTTTGTTCTTCATTCCTCTTATTGTGTCACTGTCTCTGCAGGGTCATTGTATTATCACACTGCAGCTCTCCGATGAAGAGCTGGCTGCAGATTTTGAGGGCGTGGACTACTTCCTGCTCTTTACTGGAAGCACACAAAGACACCTGACCAGCACCCTAAGGACCAGTCATGGCATCTTGCAGGCGTTATGTCCCGGTGAGCCTCCCCACACACAAAGTGAAGGCAGCTCTGCCCAGAGTAATAAACACACATAATCTCACTTAGTTGTTGACTTTCTTCATGTTACCTGATGCCTTATTTGTTGCAGATACCTTAAGAAAAGATCAATTAAGGTGAATTAAAACTAATAAAAAATGTGAAAATACATGTTTAATTTTAATAATCTTGTTTAGTTGAATAATTACATTGTTCTGCTCTTATATGCCCCTGTAAGCATGTGCTGTATATGTCCTTGTATAGCTAATTCTCACATTTCTGCTTGGTAAATTAAAATTTAGCTTGTGTTTGTCAGGCGGTACCTACCTCAAGGTTAATAAATGAGCAATAACAGGCAGCACTGAGGTCACTGGTCAAAGTTCACTGTGCACAGAAGGTAGAGTTTTGTTCCAGGGATGGGCTAACTTTTAATGTAGAAAATCCAAAGATTATTGAGTGAATTTAATTGTTAAAAATCTTTAGTTGAAGCACCAAAAGCCTGTAATTTTTCATTCCGAGATTCATGTGTACCTGGTTTTACAGGCCGATTTTGGTCAGATACAGTTTTCCTAAAACAGTTAAAATGTCAGGCTTTAGCAGGCAAATAACCCAGGGCTCAGGCAGGTTCAAAAAACTCAAAAGCAAGTCCTTTAATATAAATCAAAAGGGCTGTCCGTGCAGCACAAAAACTCACTTGGTTGGGTCAAAAGGTTCAGGAAACATGGAGACATAAGACAGTCAGGGTTGACAGAACAATGATCCGACCAGGGTTATTATAGTTAACTAAATCTAACGAAAAAACGAAAACTAACATTTAAAAAACTTTTTAGTTAACTGAAATAAATAAAAACTAAAACAAAATGAAGAAAATAATAACTAACTGAAACTGTATAATCTTTTTACAAAACTAACTAAAACTAACTAAAATTATTGACAGAATATTCTTTGTTTTAGTTTTCGTCAATTTTTTAAGCCGTGTGGACTGATTAAACAATTAATATTTTTTACATTGAGCAGTTTCACGCTAGCTGCAGGCGGTTTACGGCACCTCATGATCCATAACGTCATTTGTTTACAATCTGCCGCGGCTCAGCACTCGGCAACATAACAACAAAAGTTGAGAGAAAGCGGCAAAGTCAAATTTGGGATTTCTTTTAACATGACTGCGAGAAAAATAAAAGCAGGTGTCTTGTGGAAATAAGCGATAAAATGGGTGGAATTTGTCCCAAGGGGAAAAAAACGCAATGAAACTCACCTACGGCTAACTGTGAGTATCAAGCTAGCTTCTTTCAGTAGTTCTCAGCAGCCCAGCCAGGTAGAGCCAGGATGGAGAAACTATCGCCACCTTCCTAAAATAATCACCCCAGTCCTTTGTTGGCAAAATTGAGTTAGGTGATTTATTTTAGGAAAGTGTTGCTAAAATGGACGGGTGAAAGACTGAAACAGCAGCAGCAGGACTTATTTATTATTGTTTTTTCAGAGTAATGCCGGTGAATAACACACAAGAGCAACATCTGATCATAGTTTAAATGCATGGCATTATACTGTATTAAATATTATGTGCAATAATGTCTTACAAGGAAAATTATGGTAGTTTAGTTTTGGAGAGATGGAGGGAGTTCAGGTGAGGTCTGAAATTAGTTTAGTGAAATATGAATTAGCTGGTTCATGCTTTTTAAACTTTTTTTAATCATAAGAAGAACTGATTCATTGAAGAGAGAGGAGAAAGGGTGGAGTTTCAGGGTGTGAGGTCCTGTTTAAAAACCATATTAATTATAATAGATCCAGAAAGAACAGGTGAGGACTGGTGTCAGGTTGATTTTTTTTCATTATTTCCACAGTTATAAGGGTTTAGGTTAGTTTGTGATTAGGTTGTCAGCTGCAGAACAACGCCCCACTAGAGTTCTGTACATTTAGTTCAGTTCAGTTCAGTTCAGTTCAGTTCAGTTCAGTTCAGTTCAGTTAGTTTATTCATTTCTTTAAAGAAAAACAACAACATAAATTCAACATACAACAGAAATACAAATCATAAATTAAATGAAAGGTAGCAGAAGATGATAAAATCTTATTTTATCTGCCCCATTTTCTCAAATAAATAAATTCAATCAAAAATAATCTTTAGTTTATAAAAAAGAAAAAATATACAAAGGTTTAACTCGTTGAATAACAA